TCTCATAAATAAACATTAAACACACACACACACACACACACACACACACAGTGCTTTTAGCAGAAGCAGTGTGTGATGATACTGTCAGGAGACTGGCTTTTATCACCTAACAATAAAGCATGGACTTTTTTTTACATGATAGCACTCCTGATCTACTTAATTTTTTTTAATAGCTACACGTGCTTTTAATAATCCTCTTTTTAAATGAAAACATCGGTTAAAGTTCTGATGGAATACTGGAAAAATACCTCTTAAGAACGACTTTTACCCTTTAGTCTTTGCTTTCAGGAAGTGGATTTATGTTTACGGCTTCTCCCAGCAGCAAGCCAGGGGCAGCTCTGGCTGTGTTGGAAAACGTGTTGCTCATTAGTTTTCAATCCCTAACAGTCTGCAGACAAACAGCCAGAGATGCAACTGAACGCAGCGTCTTTACCCCTCAGGTGCTTACACAATCTGCTGCGTTATACACCTGTAAAACCCAAGATAATAACTGTCCCAGTAACTACGACTTGCCAGGGGAATGTCAAAGTCATGTCCAGGCAGGGTAGGTGGAAGAATAACACCGTAGTGTCTGCCTCTCTTTTTCTACTTTTCCAGCCACCAACCTCCCTTGAGCCTTTTCGCCTCGTCCCTGGACTCCTGTTGAGGTCTCCAGGAGCCTCCTAACCTCAGACACGCTCTGGTACAATCCACTTGGCATGGGGTGGCCAGATTACACTCCCCCGAACACTGTTTTGTGCATGTTGCCCTTGGATCAAATCCCTAAACAAGATTCCAGATCTTTATCTTGGCATCCAAGGTCGTCCTCAGTGTTGTCCCAACCCATCATTCTGGTCTTACCACCGAGTCACTCTCTAAGCTCATCTTCCCATCTCCACCAAAGAGATCCTCTTCGCCCCCAGTTCGTCTTGCTCATTCCAGACCCTGCCTCTGCTAAGAGAGCTTCTGTCTGGCTCTCACAGTCAGCTCCCACAATCCTCTTGTTCTTTCTAAACCCTTCCCTAACTCAAATGAAATTTTCCTAAAGACTTCTGAGTCCCTCAAGCCCAAACCTTTCTCTGATCTTACCATGTTTCGATTGTTAGTTACCTTTTATATATAGAGATTGTGTACACCCCAACTAGGCTGTACCATTCTCACATATCACTTTATATCTTCTGTAAAATATGTGTGAGCACCTTCCATATAATACATGCTACAGATAAATATTGGTACAGATTCATTAGGAGTATTTAGGCACCCAAGTGCCTGGGTGGCTCAGTTGTTTCATGATCTCATGGTTCACGAGTCTGAGTCCTGTGGCCAGCTCTGTGCTGACAGCTCAGAGCCTGGAGCCTGCTTTGGATTCTGTGTCTCCCTCTCTCTCTCTCTGCCCCTCCCCAGCTCACGCTTTGGTCCTCTCTCCCTCAAAAATAAATTTTAAAAACATTAACGAAAAAAAAAGAGGATTTAGGTTACTTCCAGTATTTTACTAGAAAAGAAATGCTGTTTGAATAATTTTGTACCTCTGTGAATATTCCTGTAGAACAACTTCCTCCGGTGAGAATTGTTAGAACAAAAAGCATATCCATTTTTAGTTTTGAAATATATTTTCACATTGTCCTCTTTGAGGAACTGTAATAATTCACACTCTTAACCATAAAGTTTGAGGCACAGCCATCATATTGAGTGTTTTTAAAGGAATCCATTGAGCAGAAGAACCACACTTGATTAAACGATTTCCTTATTTTTGTACATTTAAGCTTTGTCCCTATTCAATACAGAAATCTACGTTCATGGTCCCAGAAAGTGAGAGAACGTGATCCTTTGACTTATAAATCACGTAGCTTCTCCACAGAACAACAAAAATCCAAGCACCAACTATTTCACATACACAGATGTACTCCTAAAACAGTGTGTAAAACTGATATTTTTGTAAATAAAGTCAAACAACCAACCGGAGGATTCAGCATAGTTCCGTAGAAACAACACAGATTGAAGGTCAAAGGTATAATTTTTCATCTTTTTCTTACAAGTTGTAAGACTTTGGACAAGCCGCTTAATCTCTCTGAGCTATAATTTTCCCCTCTGAAAAGGGACCTAGTATTTTATGTTTTGATATGAATGCCAATGTTTAAAAAAAAAAAAAAAATCCATCTAGCTTGAGCTGCTAGCCAGCTCAGGAACCATGCCTCAGTCACTGTTTCATCCCCAGTGTCCACAGCAGTTCCTGGAATGTAGCATATAATCAATATGTAACAAATAAATGACCAGTATTTTATCTACTTGTCCATAGGATGAGTGCCTCGTCAAAGGTCAGATAATAAACGACCAAGAAAAGTTAGAGGTGGTCAAGGAAGGAGCTCACACGGGCACATCTACCTACTAGTCTGGCCCATTACCTCTCCATTTGAATTTGACCAAAGACTCCATAATTGTCCCCAGCTTTGCTCTATTCCAAGTGAAGAGCTGTCAGGAAGGCGCCTTCTATAACCCATTTTCAGGGTCATTCCCCTTCCTTGCTTATGTATCCCACACTCTTAAGACATTGTCTCTGGTCTCTGGGGAAATGAGACTTTACATCTGGGCTCCAAGTCTACCTCCCAGCCCTTAGACCCAACACATTCTCGGGGTCTCTGGGTGGCTCAGTCTGTCAAGCGCCCGACTCTTGATTTCAGCTCAGGTCACGCTCTCATGGTTGGTGAGATGGAACCTCGAAGAGGGCTCTGTGTTGGGCTCTACCCTAGGTGTGGAGCCTGCTGAAGATTCTCTTCACTTCTCACTCCCCCACTCTCACTCTCTGTCTCTCAAAAACAAAAACACCCACATATTCTCCAAAATCATCCGATTTCCAACTTAATGGATCTCTCCCTTTTATTTGGGTAAAATGTTTTATCTAGACGAAATTAAAATACCCCTGGAACCTCTCTCCCACCTTCCCCAACCCTTCCTTAACTCTCTCCCAATGGAGTTCTAGGACCCATATTACTTTTCCAATATCTTCTCAAGCTCTCACGGTTTTGTGTCTGCAAGCCAGCTCTGTAATTTATGGAAAGACCCAGAGAAGTTAAACGATCTACCCAAGTTTACAGAGCGAACTGGGCAGGGGAGTGGATTTTACCTCTGATCTTCAGGTTCTGGGTCCAGAGCTGGTTCAACAGCCCTCCTCTTCCCTCTGCTCACTCCCCATGGCTTCACATTTGTAAAGTGCTTTTGTTTGTCATATAGTCATAACAGTCTCAGGGGGCATGGCCCCATCGCTATTGCTAGGTACCAACCATCTCAAAGTTCAGAGGCTTAAAATAACCATCACTTCCTACTCCAGCTCCCGCGTCTGCGGTTCGTGGGGACGCCGGGTAGGCAGAGCAGCTGATCTTGGCTGGGTTTGCACACGCATCTCAGGGGCAGCTGGACAGCTCTGTTCTGGGCGGGGCTGAGCTGGACTGGGGCAGCTTCCTTGGGGGCCCCCTGCCCCACATGTCTCTCAACTTCCCCCTGGGACCAGTGGCCTAGCCCAGGCAGGCTCCTCTCATGGGAATAGCAGAGACGCAGGAGAGCAAGCCCAACCACACAAGCATGCCTTCAAGCCTCTGCTTGTATCCCACCTGCTAGCATCCTATTGGCCAAAGCAGGGGTCATGGGCAGAATCAGTGGGTCAGAGGATACCCTCAACTCTTGATGATGGGAAGAGCCACAGAATCACATGGCAGAGGGTAGTGATAGAGGGCAGGATAAAGCTGGAGGTCCTAATGCAATCTACCATGGCTGTCAAATATCAAGCCATCCTAGTGAAGCTAAGTTTTCTTCTTGCCTAAGAGTGTAGACCCGTTCTCCAAACCACGGCCCCCCTTCACATAGGCCCACGGAGTACAGGGTGTAGCAGGAGCAGACACTGAAGGCACTCCCGTCGCTGGCGACTTGAGTGCAAGGAGGCACTTCGGCGGCTGCCGCGGGTAAACAGAGAATGAGGGTGACAAGCCGGCACTGGCTCCAACCTCCCGGCTGTGTCTCCGGCTGTTCCCACCCTAACAACTCCTCGCACGTGATTCACTGCTCCAGGAAGAGAGAAGTAATTGAGGGTATAATTTATATTGGAAGACTTGCTCTGAAGGAAATTAGACAGCGACAGAGCCAGCACTGTGGCTCCAAGGGAGTTTCCTGCCAAAGACCAGAGCAACCCAACCAACCAGTGTCCAGGGATGTGGGAAGCAGGGAGAGGAGAAAGACCCCTGGGGGTGGGGGCTGGGGAGAGATCTCAAACAAACAGTAGTGGGGCGCCTGGGTGGCTCAGTCGGTTGAGCATCCGACTTCGGCTCAGATCGAGATCTCACCGTTCACGCATCCAAGCCCCGCGTCGAGCTCTGTGCTGACAGCTCAGAGCCTGGAGCCTGCTTCGGATGGATTCTGTGTGTGTGTCTTTCTCTCTGCCCCTCCCCAACTCACGCTCTGTCGCTCTGTCTCTGTTTCTCAAAAACGAATAAACATTAAAGACATAAAATAAAAGGGACAGTTGCAAGAAACCCCAAAGCAGTCTTAGAGCAGAAATAGAAAGAGGCAACAAACCCCACAGTTTCTGAGATGTGTTTTGCTTTCTGGAAGCGTTTACGAAATAAGGCTTACACGTGTGACACCAAGTTTTCCATGAAAACTTCTCGACACGATCCCTCTCACGCTCTACCCCTTCCGTTGCCAGGATAAACATGCTAGGAGGGCAATCGCATACGTCACGAAATGCAAACAAACTGAACAAACTCGGCGAAACGGAGAGCCTCCAGCTCCCAACTCCGATAGCTCGGTGGTGATCCGTTCCAAGTCTCGTTCAGGTTGGAAGCTAGCTGCACAGAGACTTTTGTAGTTACGCAAAGAACAACACTCACACGTGACTCGCTACGAATGTTCGATTAAATAGTCATAGCAACATCACCTCACCAGCCACAGAGTGGTAATGACAAAGGTCACAAACCTGTGCGTCTGTGGCTTAGAGGAAAAGTCAAAGCCCTGCAGCCCAGTGATGCCCCTACCTGCGCTTCCCCCCCCCCCCCCCCCCAGGGGTTCAGGCCGTCTCCAATTTTCTCTCGTTGAGTGTAAGGCCTCCAAAACCTTTCTTGGCCGGTCTCCTCACCTGAAAAAGAAAGTGGTCAAACTACATGCTCATCAACGTCCATGCCAGCACACACAGTACTTCGGTGATTCCCCCCACCCGCCTCCTCCAACCGCGCCTTGAAAGAGTCAAATCAGAGTGCCAGGAATCTTTGCCCAGGTATTTAGTAACAGAGGTTGCTTGGCACAGATATATAAAATCAAAACCACAGCGGAGATAACAGCAAGAAGAAATGCTCCAAGTGAAGCTACGCCAAACTGTGTGCCCTCGAGCAACTTACTTCATCCTTCGTGCCTCAGTTTGCTCAGTCTGTAAAATGGGGGAAATAAAATAACCTACTATTATTGAGAGTTCCGAGGACTGAGTGAGACAGCGCGTGAAGCATTCAGTGAGGGACTTGGGCACATAGAAAGCACGCCATGCGTTTTTTTAAAGTATTAGCTGCACATGTGACTTCGGCAACCCTCGGGACGGCAGGTATTTCTTTCCTGAGAAGGAAATGCTGAGAAAATTGGTTTATAAATGAAGGATTTTGTTTAAAAAAAAAAAACCCAACTTTTTCAATTCTTATTGACTTGCTGATGTGCAATAGGACTTATACACGTAACGCAAGAGGTGACAGCCTGGCTCAAGGCAGAGGGGAGTTTGAGTTTCTTATTTGCTCTAATTTTCTTTCACCTGTATCTGTGCGTTTGGTTTTCTTGCATCCCGTTTCCCTACCCTCAACCAGTAAGACGTGGTTCTCCATCGTGGCTGCACGTTAGCGTCATCTGAGGGAGCTTTAAAAATCTCTGCACCCAAACTCTGCTGTCGGAAGTGAGGATAGAGGTAGGGGTGGGGTTCGATGGAGGGCAAGCATCTGCATGCTTCTAGAGTGCTTGTCACATTCTGATTCGTGAGCTGGGCCCAGGGGACACCGGTACCTTCCGTTTGTAAAAATTCGCTGTGCTGCATACTTAGGACGGCGCACGTTGCTACATGCATAATATACTTCAATAAAAAGTTACACAGGAATCTCTATGCTGAAATTGCACTGAAGAGCAATTAAGTCAAAATCTTCAGGAGTGGGACCCTGGCATCAACGTTTTTGTAGAGCCTCCCTGGTGGTTGCAATGTAGAGCCTAAGTTGAGAACATGCTGCGGACGTTCTTGAGGCCACAGGGGACCCGGGTCTCAGAACTGGCATTCAAGCCGACAAGTAGAAAGGCCCTTGGAGCATCTAGGTGGCAGTGTTCCTACCACTCACCATTTCGTACTAGACCTATAAGGAAGGAAGAGGCACGGATGCGAGCTTCTGTTGCAATCAGTGATTTGCTCATTGCACATGAATCCATAAATGCAAGCCTCAAGAGCACGTGGATGGGAACCGGCAGTCCTGTGGCTGTCCCTGTCTCCAGCACCTGCACGGGGCTTACCGAAGTCACCCCAGCTTTGCGTCTCTTAAGAGGAGGCTCTGGGCTGTGCTTTCTGCTTACCTCCCCCAAGTTTCCAAGAATCTTAAAATCAAAAAAAGGTGTTCCTTACGTGCTTCCCGAATCTCCCTTTCATTTATTGCAATTGCACCTACATCTTCTTCTCAGAGTCTGGGGGGAAAGGAAGAACGATATAGTTGAACATATAGTTGAACATCATTAACACACTTTTTTCTCTCTCCTTTGCTCTATATTTCAACATTGCAGGAATATTTTGGATTTTTTTCCTGAGTGCTATTCACTTAAAACAATTTTTCATAGGGGCGCCTGGGTGGCTCAGTTGGTTAAGCGTCTGACTCTTGTCTTCGGCTCAAGTCACGATCTCACAGTTCGTGGGTTCGAGCCCCCGTGTCAGGCTCTGTGCTGACAGTGCAGAGCCTGCTTGGCATTCTTGTTCTCCCTCTCTCTCTCTGCCCCTCCCCACCCCCCACCCACGCACTCGCACACTGTCAATAAATAAATGAATTAAAAAAATTTTTTTTTAAATTGGCATCATCCTTATATTTTATTTTTGATAGAGAGAGAGACAGAGCACAAGTGGGGGAGGGGCAGAGAGACAGGGAGACACAGAATCCGAAGCAGGCTCCAGGCTCTGAGCTGTCAGCACACAGCCCGACACGGGGCTCGAACTCACAAACTGCGAGATCATGACCTGAGCCGAAGTCGGACGCTCAGCCGACTGAGCCACCCAGGTGCCCCTAAAAATTTTTTTTATAAATGTGTCTCCTCAAAACTATAATTCTCTTGAACACTTAGTGTTACTGGATAAAGATTTAACAAGTTAATTCAATAGGCACTTACAGGGGCTTGCTACATAGAAGATTCTGGGCTGGGGGTACATGGGTGGCTCAGACGGTTAAGTGTCCGGCTCTTGATTTCAGCTCAGGTCATGATCTCGCCGTCATGGGATCAAGCCCAGCAACAGGCTCTGCACTGAGCATGGAGCCTGGTTGGGATTCTCTCCCTCCCTCTTTGCACCCGCGCCCCCCCCAAAAATAAACATTTAAAAAAAAGAAGAAGTGGGGCTCCTGGGTGGCGCAGTCAGTTAAGCATCCGACTTCAGCCAGGTCACGATCTCGCGGTCCGTGAGTTCGAGCCCCGCGTCAGGCTCTGGGCTGATGGCTCAGAGCCTGGAGCCTGTTTCCGATTCTGTGTCTCCCTCTCTCTCTGCCCCTCCCCCGTTCACGCTCTGTCTCTCTCTGTCCCAAAAATAAATTAAAAAAACGTTGAAAAAAAATAAAAAAATAAAAAAATAAAAAAATAAAAAAAAGAAGAAGATTCTGGGCTGGGCTGTGAACGCCATTGATTCCCACCTTAAAGGAGCCCACATTGAGGTAGAATAAGACATAATACTAACACAAGATGGGCTGTCAGACATTCTGCAATATAGTTTACAAATAAGCAAACCACAGTAGTATGAAGTCAAAAGATAAATTCTATAAGTGACAATCACCAAAGTTGCTTTATATAAAAGAGCTGGGTCTATGGTTGAACAAGGATACTTGGAAAATTGCTGATCATCTAAAGGTCCATAAAGTGTTATATTTATTTTTGTATTATTTTCCCTCACAATGTCACTTCCAATTTGAAGTTTCATGCTTATGCTAGAGTCAGAAGTTTTTTCTTTAGGAAGAGTAACTTACCATCTTTTAAAAATAAGTGAGAGTTGTTTGCTTCTGTGTTAGATGAGATCGACTGCATAATTTTGCTAAAAAGACTTGAATACTTTGCTAGCCTCAGAAAAATCACTTAATTAATAAACCATCAAGGATTCAGGAGCAGTGGTGTTCCCCAAAACTAAACCTAAATATGTCCTCATAAAATTCAAACCGATGAGGTCCACATTCTGCCAAAGGATGTAAGCAATGGCGTGGTCAGTACAAGAGCGCTGACGGAGAGGCGAGAATGGTCTGGAGACAGTGGTGCTACCGGTTCAGGCTGATGCAGAGCCCGAAGTCCCTCTAAATGTTAGAAGGACCGCTCATGATGTCTCTTCCAAGATTCTTCAAGCTGCTTCCTGGAGTCCAGCGATCTCTTCATGGCTTGTTTCCTAGCCATTTAAACACCTTTGTAGATACAACACTATGATCCATGAAAGGAAAATTGATGCTGGACTTCATTAAAATGAAAAACTTCTACTCTGTGAAAGACACTGTTAAGAATAAGACAAGCCACAGACTTGGAGAAGATAATTTGCAAAACATGTATTTGATAGAGGAGTTACATCCAAATATACAAAGAACTCTTAGAACTCAGCAATAAAAAAACAAACAACGACACGCACTTTAAAAAGTGGTCAAAAACGCTGGACAGACACCTCACCAAAGAAGATACACATATGGGAAACAAACATATGAGAAGATGCTCCATACCATATTAGGGAATTGCAAATTAAAACGATGAGTAACTACTACACGTCTATCAGAATGGCCCACATCCAAAACACTGACGACACCACATGTTGACTATGATGTGGGTCAATAGGAACTCTCATTCATTGCTGGTGGGAATGCAAAATGGTACAACTACTTTGGAAGACAGTCCGGGAGTGTCTTACGAAACTAAACATCCCCTCACACACATACAGTCCAGCAAGCCTCATGCCTTGGTATTTACCCAAAGGAGTCGAAAACTTACGTCCACACAAAAACCTGAACACAGATGTTTAGAGCAGCTTTATTCATACTTACCAAAACTTGGAAGAAACCAAGATGTCCTTCAGCAGGTGAATGAATAAACCGTGGTACATATAGACGCTGGAATATTATTCACCACCAGAAAGAAAAGAGCTATCAAACAATGAAAAGACATGGAGAAACCATAAAATACACACTACTAAGTGAAAGAAGCAATCTGAAAAGGCTAAATACTGTTATGTTTCCAACTGTATGACATTCTGAAAAAAAAGGCCAAACTATGGTTGCCAGGGGTTGGAGAGAAGGACAGATGAATAGGTAGAGCACAGAGGATCTTTAGGGCGATGAAACTATTCCTTATGGTACCATAATGGGAGATACTTATTATTATACATGTGTCAAAATCCATAGAATGTACAAAACCAGCAGTGAGCCCAAATGTAATCTGTGGTCTTTGGGTGATAATGATGTGCCAATGGAGGTTCATCTATTGTGACAATGTACCACTCTGGTGTGGGATGTTGATAATTGGTACAGCTGTGTGTTTGCGGGGGAGGAGGTATATGGGAACTCTTTGTACTTTCTGCTCATTTTTGCTGTTAACCTACAACTGTTCTAAAAAAAAAAAACAAAACAACAAACCACCCCAAAAGTGTTTATAAAAAAAAAAGAAAAGAAATAAGCTATCAAGCCATATCAAAGCCATGAAGGAAACTTAACTGCATATTACTAAGTGAAAGAAGCCAGTCTTAAAAGGCTATATACTGTATGATTCCAACTATATGACCTTCTAGAAAAGGCAAAAGTGTAAAGAGAGTAAAAAGATCAGTGACTGTCAGGGGTTGGGGTGGGGGGTAGGCAAGTGATGATTAGGTGAAACACAGGTGGGTTTTAGGGCAGGATGCTATTCTGC